CCTTGATCACATGATCACCATTCAAACACTTGGCAATTGACTCCTATTTATAACGGTTGCAATATCCTGGGATCACCGGATCACCCTTTTTTTGACCTTCTGACAAGCAAAGTCAATGGGGAAGCCAGATTCACTTAACAACGGTGTTACTAACTTAAACAACGGCAGGGATTCACTTAACTGTGGCAAGAAAGATCGTAAAATGGGGCAGAACTCACTTAACTGTCTTGCTTAGCAACAAAAAAAAATGGTGCTCAGTTATGGTCGTAAGCCGAGGACTACCTGTACTTTGAGAATTGCAGTCATGTATGTTTGCTGTCATGCCATTCTCATGAGGCATGCTATGCTAAGCAGAGACACCCCCCCCCCTTTCCCTCATTCTCTCTGATATTTGAACCTTTTCTCCTCTCTCCCCTCCCCAGTTTTGCAATTGATTGGCAGCCGGAGAAGAGGCTGCTCCATTACTTGAAGCCTTCATCAACTTGCAGCCTCTACGTGGAATCAGGATACCCAGACAATGGGCAGGTTCGTCTTCTTTCAATAAAGACTCAACAAGGCACAGTTGATGTGACTTCCTACAAGGTTAGTACTCGGCTGTCACAGCTTTACCTTCTGGCAAAGGATCTCAAGGCCTTTAAACTTGGCCTGGAAATAGATTTCAACTTCTCAAAAGTTAAAGAGATATTTCAGAAATGTCATGGTGAGGTTGAATGCCACACAGCCTCACCCATTCAAGATTCTTTTACTTCTGTCTCTGTTGAGGGTGGTTCTCCTTGCCTCTTAGTTGCCCATCATTCAAAAGAAACAAATCGAGCCCAGAAAACAAGGAGGGGATTGAAATAACAGCTATTAGTGATGTTAAGATGCTGAGATTTTTTTTTTTTAAAGACAGTGATAATTCACTGGGACGAAGAAACCATAACATTCTTGGTCTTGCTGAACTTAAAAAAAAAAAAGACATAGCAGCCTTTGCAACACTGTCTGGGTCTGCTTGTCACTGTGTTTCCCCAACATCTGAAGGAACACTAATTTCCCACTCCTGCCTCAGGCAATTCCATTTCTATTTTCTGGTTTTATTTTTAGATCTTGCCTTAGCACTTTTAGAAGGAAGCCCCAGATCACAGAGCTCTGAAATACGGCTATATAAGAGCTCAAGGAGGGCTACGTATTTTCTATTTAAGCAGTAACAACATGCTGTGAATGGTCCACCTTGCAGAAAAGAGGACATTTATTCATGTGCCCAGATATAAAACTTCAGTTTTAGGATTTCCTATGTTCTTTTATTCTTCACGCCTGACTTCTAAATCTCTTCTTTCTTGCAGCCCCCACAGGAAAAACCTTCACTGATAAATTGGCTGGTGTACCTAAGTACCATGGACTTCAATACTCCCTTCCCGACCTAAAAAGCTACTACTGCCTGTGTCCATATAATGTGATGAAATCAAGGCCACATCTCTAGTTTAGGCCTCTTTCTGGTATCTTTGGAAGAAGAAGGAAGTTGAATTTAACTGGGACAGCTTGTGTGTGTGTGTGTGTGTGCGCGCGCGCGCGCGCGCGCAAATGTATGTTTGTATGTTGTGTTTGGGGCCACTTCAGCCTCTACTTCCCTCCCCTTTGGCTTGCTTTGAATTGAGCTTCCAGTTCTCCTCTTTGAGTTCTTCTACTTTCCTGTTACTCTTATATAGTTTTATGGCTGTTTGAGTGTTACTCACTTATTGCATCTCCACATTGTTGAACTTTTAAAATGTTTTGATCAATAAAATATTCCTTGGAGGTTTCTAGCTCTCATTTATCTGATGGACTTAATTGTAAGACAAAGTTTGTTTCATTATCTTGTAATTCCTCTCTCTTTTGTTTCAAACAGTTGCTGATAATAAATAATTTTTTTCCACCCATGTTTATGTGGAGCACATTACAAGCTCGGGGAATGTAAACTAACCAAAGTAAGATTTTTATGCATATCTGATCCCTTATGATATACAAATTACTGCTGGAATCTCCCTTGAAGATGATTCTACTGCAGTTCACAAGAGAAAAGCCAAAAAGCACAGTTTATTTAGATGCCGAATAAAGATGGAACTGAATAAAGATGGAATCTGATGTTAGAGCTTGTCAGTTTTTCATGCAAAAAGCATGAAAATGTTACATGAAAAAACAATGAATGGAAAGTTATGTTATTGGTATCAACAAAAATATAAATTCATAATAATTGGTGTGGCACCATTCTCATTGCTATGTCACATTTTGCAGAAAAGTTATGGAATATAATCGCACATACCCCCTCGTAATTTTGAATTATTTTGATGCAATTTTGACCTGAAGCTGTATCTTGGAATCTGGAGCTAATTAATACTCGGGACTTAATTTTCCTTTATTGGTGACCCAGTTCTGGTAAAATTTAGTTACTTTCATTTCTGAGGCTTTCTCTTTTTAGACCAATGTAAGCTATAATTTCAATTCTCATTGGTAGATTTCTAATAAATATTCATACTTTAAAAACAATTGTCTGGGATTGCTAACATCCCCCAAAATTCTGAAATTGATGTAATTTGATAACTATAAATGCTCAGACCTATATAAATATGAAAACTTTACAGTTGTGTAAATATGAATACATAATTTGACAAATGGAAATAAAAATATTTTTTTAAATAATATCACTAGGTTATTGCTTCATTCAGATAGGTTAACACTTGGTCTTTCTAGCAATTTGTTGGAAGCGAAGTTCAGCCTCTTGCCATGTGGTGGCAGTATTGCACCACAGTTCTGCATGAAATTCATCCTCTTCAGGGCTCGTGGTGTGAGGTGCTGCTGAGTTTTACTTTACCCAGAGCTGGGTTTTACTTTGTTTCTTTTTCTGCTCTCTGTAATTGGAAGGCTGAGTAAACAGGAAAGGGTATCTTACCTCAAGTGATTAGGGGATGGGAACCCAGGGAATGACATGGCTGGAACAGTGTGCCCCTTAGGATTAAGTTTACCCCCACTTGCTTGGCATTTGGAAAACGAGAAGACAACTCTCTTTTTGAAGAGACTTGTGTCAGAGGAGGTCTTCAGTTAGACTGTTTTTATGGTAATTCTATGGTTGATTTTGATTGCATACTGTAAGTTACCTCAAGAATCGCTAAATAGTAAAGTGGCATAAGTAACCACCTTTCTTCTGGTTAGAAGGCCAACTTTGACTTGTCATCCAATGAAGTCTTCTCACCTTTTCAAACTTAGCTGAGGGTTTAATTTCTCGGTGATAAAACGGCTGACGGTTATGGAAACAGGAAGCAGACACAGACTGTCCAGCTTCACAAAAGAGTCAAATTACCTGCTCCTTGTGTCAGAAAAAGCAAGTGGAAATGGATAAGAGTTTGGTGGTCCTAAATCACCTCCATGTAATTGGTGGTCCTAAATTTCCTCCATGCTTCAGTTGAAAGGGTGTTTGGTGGTTGTAACGGTCCTTTTCCTAAGATGTAATATTAAGCAGAGCTGGCTGGGGAATTCTGGGAGTTGAAGTCCTCCAGGCTTAAAGTTGCCACAGTTGGAGACCCCTGCTCTAGAGAAGGGATAGTTGTGGGTGACTTCTAGATTAGGGGTGGGGAAACTATGGTCCTTTTATGACTTGTGGACTTCAACCTCTGTCCTAGATTTATCTGAGTCACATTGGTGGCTTCACATCTGTTGCTTTTTAAGTGGATTCCCATCACAAATGCTGCATTTGAAGTCTGGCACTGGGAACTAGTCTAATGGCTATCAGTATTTCCCTCATTGTTAATCAAAAAGATGGCAGATTTTCTCGTCTTCCAAATTATGCTTGTTTCTCAATTATACTTCCAACATGATTGGCATTTGAACTGAAAGACAGGATGCAAATCAAGTAAATAATAATGATTTAGCAGACTTGAATGTTCATCCAGTTACACCTGAGAGAAGCTACTATTCAATCTGACTGCAATTAAGCTTGCTTTTATGTTTATTTTTCCTTTTTTAAAAAAAAAAAGATGTATTGGGGGGTTGCTACCCTCACAACAATTATTAGCTTGATGAGAAGTTTTGGAAAGTCTAAATGAGCAGTTTCTGCTTAGATCACACAATGAAATATTCAAGTATGCCATAAAAACCTTCAGGATCCTCCTTAGGATGACTAGGGGAAGGACCATGGAAATGATTGATAAGAGTAGTAAAAGAGAACTGGGTGTCATTGGAGGTGTTCCTGTCACATTTTAATTTCTTTTCATTTTGTAAGCTCTAGTGAACCATAGAGCATTTCCAAGGGGGGTGGGGGAAACACTTCATAAAATTAAATTCACAACTTTTAGCACTCCGTTAGCAATGCTGTTACAATGAGCTTTAGAACATAAATGGTTAGAGATGAGTACACCTAGGTCCTTAACAAAATGAGGGTCATCTCCTAGAACCTAGATCAGGGGTCCGCAAACTTGGCAACTTTAAGACTTGTGGACTTCAACTCCAGAATTTTCCAGCCAGTTGACTGGAGAATTCTGGGAGTTGAAGTCCACAAGTCTTAAAGTTTCCACGTTTGGAGACTTGACCTAGCTCAATACCATCTAACTTACACTTTATATTCTAGTTTTGTTTTCCAATATGTAAAACAACTTTTCTTCACTGAAATTTGAAGTTGCCTAGTGGATGACCATTCAAAAACGTGATCGTTGTCATTTTGCAAAGCAAGTGAATTTTCACTAACATTAAATAATTTCACATCAATCAGCAAAGAGAACACAAGTGGTGGGATTCGATTTTTTTTACTAACGGTTCTGTGGGCGTGGCAGGGGAAGGATACTGTAAAATCTCCAGTCAAGAGGTAGTATTTGGTATTTGCCAATTCTCCAAACTAAAAATTTCTGCTACCAGTTCTCCAGAACTAGTCAGAACCTGTTGAATACCACCTCTGACACAAGTATTTTGAATTGATCACATAAGTCATTTATGTAAATCAGGAGAAGATCCTCCTAGGTCACTGCTCTGAGGAATGCCACTGTTAACTGATACCAGATCAGACATTGAGTTGCCTATTTTAACTAACTCTGCAGATTTTCTCTCTCCCCCTCCCACCTTCTGTCTCTTTTCGGTCCATAGTCCTTGCTGTTCCATCGTTTCCTGGAGGCCAGCACTGAGTCTCCATTTTGTGGTTCTTTCAACTCCTGTTAACAGCCTTCTAGAACATGCCCAGGCTACTAACCTTTGAGTCTTTTCTGTCATAACAAAAAGACATTCTCCAGAGCTGCTTTCATGTCCTCAGAGCTGCTACAGTTTGTTCTTCCACTCATCATTTTATGCTTCCTCATAATGGCCAAAGCCTTTTATTTTAGAACATGCTTGCGTATTTTAGAACTAATTTTAGCGTTAAAAGGACATTGGAAGGTGCTTGGTGAACCCTTATGCCTTTTATATGTTCTCTAGTCCCTGGGATTGAGCAGAAATGTAATTAATTTTACAATGTCTGAGGAGTGGGAGTACTTTAAAATCAAGTTTGTATTCATCGGAAAGAACAGCTGTGTAGCTGTTTCTCACCATGAAATGCTATTTTTTTTAATGCCCAGGAAGGATATCAGCCAAGAGGGCAAGAGGAAACTTCCGTGGATTATGGCACTATAGCTTCACGTCTGCCTAAAAAGCCACAGAGAGTTGGCTCTCTTGACTTTGGATGGGATTTAGAGTCTATCACCTAGTCCTAGAAGGTGACCAATCTTGCATTTGCAGATTGTTTTCATACACAGAAGCATCTGCTTGCTCACCAGAATCATTTTTCGGTGAACCTTTTAAGCCAGTTTAAGGCAATTGATCTGTTCATGTGACTACCATCTTCATTGTGGAGATTGCCAGGAACTTCTGGGTGATATATGGCTTCACCCAAGGCATAGAGATCGGATGAGAGTGATGTGGAATCCTGGACAAAGATCATGGTGAGGTTGTAACATGGGAATAAACCCTGTGTTATCATTTTTCACCCTGTCCATTTTCAGTTGAGATTGATGGTTCCTATTGACTTTCAGGGGAGAAGACCTGGATCTTCTTCCTGCAGAAACATCTTTCGTTCTCCCCTCAAGGCATTTTTGGTTTACATCATCTTAAGTTGTTAGAGGAAAAATGTGCCTCAGCCATTTGCCTCTCACAATGTTAGGCTAGAGGCTCAGCCTTACTGGTGACATAAATAGAGTTTTTCTTGTCAATTTACCTCACATTGTTATTGTGGGGAAAAATTGGAGGAGGGAGAACTGTGTAAATCACCTTAAACCCCTGGAGGAAATGGGATATAAATCCAATCCAGTAACTAATCATTTTATTTGAGGAGATTCAAGTTGACAAGAGTGCCATTTGTTTTCTTTTTTCCCCCTCTATCCCTCTGACTACAAAGAAAACATTCCTCATGACCTTCCTTTCAAATGATAAAATAGTAATGGATGCTAAATTATAAATACCTCTCATATCAGAGGTGCTCTTGAGATTTTGATAATGTGCAACCTTTAGAACTATAACTGAATCATCTTCATCAACTATAACTGAAACTAATCAGATAAAATGGGGTGATTAGAACAATAAATAAAACATATAATTGAACTGGTTTTCAGTCCTACATTTTTGTCCCCCCCCCCTCAAATTTATTGCAAAACTTGGAAGGGGGGGGGTGGGTGGGTGGGGTATAAGTCTCTTGGGTATTCACAAGGTGACGGAGGCCATATTGATCCCAGAACTACTGGAAATTCCACACCTAAGAAGAGGCATTCTTCCAATCCATAGGCGATTTGTCCAGAATTCCTTCCATATTTGTTCTGATGACCGTTGAGACTCTGCAGATCTCATCAAAGGAGAAGCTATTCCTTGATCTGCAAGAATAGAGGCTCCACCTTTGGCTGTGCTCATGAGATTCTGCACCTGCAAACCTTAGCAGAGCAATGTGAGACTTAGCTGTGGAGAGAGCATCAGCAATCAAGTTAGAAGTGATCTTTGGGCAGCACATCGGAGGAAGCTAATGAGTAAAAGGAAAAGTGGCTAAGGAATGACGTGGCAAGCCCAAATCTTTTCTTTGTGATGCTTGTTGGCATAT